CACACGCACACACACGCGCACACATGCACACACACGCACACACGCACACACGCATACACGCACACACGCACACACGCACGCACGTACGCACACACGCACACACGCACGCACGCACGCACGCACGCACGCACGTACGCACGGCGCAACGCGCAACGCGCAACGCGCACGGTGCACGCGCACGCGCACGTGCACACGCACGCGCACGCGCGCGCACGCACGCACGCACACATGCTTACACACACACACACACACACACACGCACACACACACACACACACAACACACACACACACACGCGCACGCACGCACGCACGCACACACCCACACGCATACACTTGCGTCGGCGGCTGGGCATAATGACTGCTCTGGCGGATGGGGCACACACATTATAAAAGGCGTGGCACTTTCTCGACACCACAGGAGGTGCGCAGAGGGTGGCTCCTTCTATGCGATCTCTATCCGTCCCAGGGTCGCGGGGCGCGGCAGGCGTGGCACTGTCTCCACACCACAGGGGTCGCGCAGGGCGTGGTCCCTGAGCATGGTCTCTGTCCGTCCCAGGGTCAAGGGGCGTGGCAGACGTGGTACTTTCTCCACACTAGGGGTGCCCCTCACCGCGGTCTCTATCCGTCCCAGGGTCGCGGGGCGTGGCAGGCGCGGCACTGTCTCCACACCACGAGGGGTGCGTAGGGGGTGGTCCCTCACCGCGGTCTCTATCCGTCCCAGGGTCGCGGGGCGTGGCAAGCGTAACACTTTTTCACCACAAGGGGTGCGCACGGGGTGGTCCCCTCACGCGGTCTCTGTCCGTCCCAGGGTCGGTCCCAGGGTCGCGGGGCGTGGCAGGCGTGGTACTTTCTCCACACCACAGGGGGTGCGCAGGGGGTGGTTCCTCACCGCGGTCTCTATCCGTCCCAGTGTCGCGGGGCGTGGCAGGCGCGGCACTGTCTCCACACCACAGGGGGTGTGTAGGGGGTGGTTCCTCTCCGTGGTCTTTATCCGTCCCAGGGATGGCGGGGTGCGGCAGGCGTGGCATGTTCTCCACACCACAGGGGGTGCGCAGGAGGTGGTCCCTCACCGCGGTCTCTATCCGTCCCAGGGTCGCGGGGCGTGGCAGGCGTGGCATTTTCTCCACGCCACGGGGGGTGCGCCAGGGGGCAGGTCTCGTGGTTGCATCCCATCAGTTGCACTTGCAGGGGCTTGCGTCACCAACGGTATCGGCGGGGCAACGGCCACCAGCATCATGTTCGAATTTTTCAATTCAGCTATCATCACGCCAAACAAATTATAAGTATGTGGGTTGCCTCGGTAACGTAATCTCGTTTCCCCGGGGAACAACGAAAAATGTACACACCAAGATCCCATATACACCGCGGTCCGCTTTCCTGTGTAAGTTTCAGCGCAGGGCCGAAAAAAAAACGTTGGTGTATAGAGTTCGCTTTCCTGCACCACCTTCCCCCCCCCAGTTTTAGATAGACCCTTCGATGCCCGAGGGGAACAGCTTAATTACATAAATCCCCATCTAGGGGGGTAGAGCGGCCAGTGGGGCCCAGGCCACGCCGTTGGGGATACCAGGCGATCGCAAACATGGAGCAAGGGGGCGTGGATTAGCGACGGGTCCCGCTTCCATGGGAAATCGCGGATTTCCGCCGCCAAACGAGGTGGCACCAGCCGCATTTTGGGGAGGTCGCCTCCCCTGATCCATGGATTTGGCGACCGCGCGCCAAATCCATGGATCGCTTATCCATGCTTGCGCGCCCCCGAGGATGGGGGTCGGATAAACGATGCTCAGTCAAGGGTGTAGAGACCACCCCGAGTCCCGTAGGTGGCGTTTACTGAGCGGCCCTGGGCGTTCGCGAAACAGCCCCTGCCCTGCTCGATTCCTTCCTTGGGTGCGTTTGCCAAGCGGCTTCGCTTGTCGGGTCTCTCGTTCCTCTCCTCTTGCCTCACCGCTCGCTCCTCAGGTGGAGGGCGCCGGGCACATGGTGCCCGTCGACAATCCCGCCGCGGCGTTCCACGCCATTCGGCAACGCCCCTGCCACCGCCCGCGCCCCCCCAGGCCGAGATCTGGAGCAGGGAGAGGAGGAGGGGAAGCAGGAGGAGGCAAAGGAGGAGGAGGAGGAGGAGGGGGAGGAGCAGCGGGAGGAGGAAGAGGAAGAGCCGTGCGCTGCAATCCCGTGACAACCCCAGAGAGCATGGAGTGATCTGCACTCTTGCTCGTGGTCTTCTCCTGCCAGGCGGAGGTCACGGAAGTCTTCACAGCAAGTGAGGCGGAGCTGAGCCAGAAGAAGAGGCGTAGTGGTCGGAGTCCACCTTTGGTGCCGTCAGTCTACCTCGTCCAAGAGGAGGAGTGGTCGGAGCCCACCACTCGTGCCGTCGAGCCTAAATTGATGCATCCGGAGAGGAGGAGTGTGGTCGGAGTCCGCCACTGGGTGCTGTCGAGCATACCCTGTCCTTGTTCCTCGCTCACTGGGACACTCTGGAGGTCCCCGTCGGCCTGCGCGCTCATCGCTGGCGGGCTGCTCCAGACCTTGGGGAGGGACTGCGAGTGGCCGCCAGAGGTCCCGGCGTGTGCCCCTGGCCAGGAGGGCAAGGGCCTCCAGGGCAGGCTCCCGGGATGCGGGATCGACGGAGGGAGGAGTAGAAGGAGACTCGCCGCTTGCCTGGGGTCCAGCAGCAGCATTCGGGTTGCGAGGCGGGAAGAGATGCCGACCTTTCACGTCTTGTTCCGCATCACCTGGCTTTGGGCGGCATGGGCCTTCACCGGTGGCGAAGCCGCTGCCATGCTGCCCGCCTCTGCGGCGCTTTCCGTGACCGATTCTCTTCCGACCTCAGCAATCGCAGGGTCCGAGGATCAGGAGAGCGTCTTCACGGATAGATTTCTGACCCCTCGGTGCCGACTGCATTCTTCCGCGGCAGCCCAGCTCGCCCAGCGAGTCCTCTTGGAGCAGACCGCCGCTACGCTTCCCCGCGGCGGCGGCGCCCAGGTCGGCCGGATCACCAGATCTGCGGCCTCGCGTTTCTGCTTCGCCCACCTCCACGGGCGGTAGCCAGACGACAGGAAAGTGTGTGTGTGTGTGTGTGTGTGTCTGTGTGTCTGTGTGTCTGTGTGTGTGTCTGTGTGTCTGCGTGTCTGCGTGCGTGCGTGCGTGCGTGCGTGCGTGCGTGCGTGCGTGTGTGCGTGCGTGCGTGCGTGCGTGCGTGGGTGTGTGTGTGTGTGTGCGTGTGTGTGTGTGTGTCTGTGTGTGCGTGTGCGTGTGCGTGTGCGTGTGCGTGTGCGTGAGTGTGTGTGTGTGTGTGTGTCGCATTCGCACTTCCATCTGCTGCTCGCGCCTGAGGATCGATCCTCGGCGCCGCTGACTCGAAAGTGCGTGTGTGTGTGGTGTGTTTGAGCGCACGCGGGCGCACGTTTGTTTCTCCGTGCGCTCTCGGGTTCGACAAGCCGTGCTGCTGCGCACTAGCCTGCCGAGAAGCAGGTGCGCGCGCGTGTGTGCGTGCATGTGCGTGACCTGTGTGGGCAGTCGGACAGATGTCTCTTCTGCTCCCCGCTGCCTCGTCGTTATAACCCTGCGGCTACGAATCATTCCGCCAGCCTGCTCCATAGTGTCGTGGCCATCTTACGGATGGGGAGTGGCCTTTGTGCTGATCAGGGCTGTTCGTGGTGTCTTGCGTGATACTGAGTTGCCAGAGAGACCAGTCCTCTGAGAGGTGTTCTGATAATTCAGCGCTCGTCTGCTTAGCTCGCGGGTATACTTGTCCAGATCATCTGCACAGATTTCACTGTGATTGAACGTTTCGCGTTGACTAGAGCACAGAATGTTTGCCAGGATCCACACGCTGTTTGGCAACAGTGAGTTGGTAGCATACCGAGTGAGCACTAGGCCCTAGGCACCATTACGCATTTGCCCTGTTGACCGGTCTGGTGGTCTGGTCTCCTCAGTGGGGGGGAGGAGGAAGAGGGGGCGGAGGAGTCACACGGGATTTCCTCATTGGTAAAATGCAAGCGCCAACAGTTGTTCTGGTACGGCAGGTTGGCGTCGTGACGACTGGCGGCGACCTCAGCGCCGGCGTTTAAGGTTGAACGCCGCCTGTGGCCCAGAATCGGCCCATCCTTGAACGATCAGGCGTTCACTGAGCGGCCGATCGTTCAAGTTTGAACGATCCCCGCGGTGTCAGGAACCGACGCCAGGGTCGACACGACGCGAACCTGCCGTACAGAGGGCGGGTACCTACCACCGCCCCATCTCGCACGTCTTGCCCTGCGGAAGGCAGGCCCCTGCGAGCAGCAAGAGCGGTTGTAGCACCGTCCTCCCAGCGGCCGCCCAGCACGCTGCTGCCGGACAGCTCCGATGGTTGCGAGGCCGCGCGCCGTGCCTCGATCCGTGCTGCCACGGCCTCTTCTCCGGGATTGCAGAGAGAGGAAACTGATGAGGTGGAGAGCGTTGGAGTTGGATCGCAGAAGAAAAGACCACATAAACATAAACTTTTGGCGCTCCGCGCGTATTTCTTGGATCCGCGCTGGGCCCCCACTGGCGGCGCCACCGGCGCCGCCCCTGGCGCTCTCCGCGCGCCAGGGAAGGGGGGTCTGGCGCGGATCCAAGAAATCCGCGCGGAGCGCCAACAGTTTATGTTTACTTCTGCTGGGGTAAGGAGGGTGCGGTACACTCGGGGGTGAAGGAAGGTGCCTTGACGGGGCCCTTGGGGCCCCAAGAGGGGCACGAGAGTCACCACCTACCAAGCCACCCCAACCCAACTCGAAGGCCTCAATTTACCCTCCATTTCCAGTGGTGGGTGGGTCGGGGAACATCGAGAAAACACATGTGGAACCCGTACCCCCTCCAACCCGACATTCGGGTCTTCGGGTTGGGCTGGGGTGGTCCGGTAGGTAGTCAGACAGGTGCACGTGCCTCCCCTCCCACTGACCGCCCCCCCGTCAATGAATGCCCGATTGCCTTGGCTGGACATTCTTGTCGCAGAGGTCCTACGGCCAGCTCCGCCGACCCTGGGCATCATGGGACAGAGGCGGAGGGAGGAGATAAGAAACGAAGGAAGGGGAGGAGGAGGAGGAGGAGGAGGAGGAGGACGAGGAGGACGAGGAGGACGAGGAGGACGAGGAGGACGAGGCTGGGTGGGAGGAGGAGGAGGAGGAGGAGGAGGAGGAGGAGGAGGAGGAGGAGGAGGAGGAGGAGGAGGAGGAGGAGGGGGAAGAGGAGGAGGAGGAGGAGGAGGAGGAGGAGGAGGAGGAGGAGGAGGAGGAGGAGGAGAAGGGGGCCCCAGTTGGCCAGCATCGGCTCGAGGACGGTCCACTAAGGTGGCCTCCGCCAGGCCTCCTCCCTCTCGGAGGCTTGGAGGTGGGCACCAGCACCACCAAACTTCGGCGGTGTGCCTCGACCGCGGGAAGAGGATCCCGACCTCGGTGCTCTTGGTGATATTTGGGCTTCCTCGAAGAAGACAAAACGCCATAAACATAGACTTTTGGCGCTCTGAGCAAATTTCCTGGATCCGCGCTGAGGCCCCCCCGGCGTCGCCTCCGGCGCCGCCCCTGGCGCGCTCTGCGCGCGCCGGGGAGGGGGGTCCTGCGCAGACCCAAGAAATCCGCGCGGAGCGTCGAAAGTTCATGTTTATGCAGTGTCTTCTTCTTGTATCCTTGGGTGGCCGAAAGATTGCCACCAGCTTCAAGATCTAGGATCAGCCTTCCCTGGAGAAGGCAACCCCCTGTGTTAGTGTTGGTGCCCATTTCCAGGCCTCCAATCCTTTGGGCCATCCACTCGGCCTCTGGGGGCTGCCCTGGAGACCCCCCCAGGAAGGCACCCGAGGAGGCTCAGCGGCAGGTGACATCCGCGTCTGTTAGCGTGCAGCGACACAGTGGGGGCGCGCATCAAGAAACTATATGCTTTTCGTCAGGGCGTCCTGGGTTTCTTCGCTCCGCGCGCTGCGCGGTGACTTCCCGCAGCCGTTGAAGAAGCTGCTGCGATCAGGGTGCTTAGGGTTCCCCCTCTGGTGCAATTCGCACGCGGGTTGTCAGGGCTGGGTCTCCTGAGAGGGTTTCTTGCGGCCGCTCCCGCCTTGCATCAGCGCATCTGGAGACGTACACCTCCAGCACATCGGCCCGGTGCCCATCTTCCCACGTTGCTAACGTTGGGGAATGCGGAACACACGTGGTGATTCTCGTTGGGGCGTCGCTTCTGGCACATGGAAGAAGCTTCTGCCATTCCGCAGCGCATCTAGAAATGTATGTATACCTCCAGCGTGTCGGCCCAGCGCCCATGCACGCACGTTGCGAACATTAGAAGGTGGAGCACGCTTGGTGTTCCTGTTGTGGGTGTCGCGTATTGTATACTATCCTACCTGTGGTCGTGTTGGCTACGGCCAAGATGCTGCATTCAGGACCGCTTTGGGTTCGAAGGGGGCTCCTTAGGTGGTGCCTTGGTTGTTCCTCTAGTTCTTCTCGCGCACCCAGGCAGTTCTGGTGCCCCAAAAAGGGGCTGCGTTCCTGATTTAGAGCATTTCTTATTCTGGACGTTTCGCGTAACCCCACCAGCTGCGGCAATCTCGCGCCAATTATCTTCGTACCGCGCCCCGGACGTTGACCCGCTCCATGTCCCTCGCCTTGGAGCAGCGAACTTCAAAAAAGTAACCCCACCAGCCCATCCAGAAACGATGCCCAGACGAGTTGCCTTGATCAGGGATGTAGAGGAGAATGCAGTCGAAGTACGGGCTTGGTAAGACGTCGTACCCTAAGAGGGGGAGGATAGAGGAGGACTCGGAGGAGGAACAGGAGGAGGAGGAGGAGGAGGAGGACGACGACGAGGAGTAGGGAGAGGAGGAAGGGCGAGGAGGGAGGAGGAGGAACAGGCGGATGATGAAGAGGAGGATGATGAGGGCGACCAGAAAGGCCAGAGGCCTCGTGGATGCCTCTCGGAGTCTCTTCGAAGTTCTTTCTTTCTTGGAGTCTTCCTGGGGCGTCTTGGGGGTCTCTTCAGTCCCGGGGGCCTCTTGGGGCGTCTTGGGTGCCTCTGGGGAACCTCCTGGGGCGTCTTGGAGGTCTCTTGCGAACCTCTTGGGGGCAACTTGGGGGCATCTTGGGGGCCTCTTGGGGCATCCTGGGCACTCCTTGGGGCCATCTTGGGGTACCCTTGGGAGCCTTGGGATCTATCTTTGGGCCATCTCGGAGGAGATCGATCAAAGGGCGCGAGCATCCCAATTAGGGTGTCCCCCTACGATGCCAAAATGTGGCCAAAACCTTGGCACAATCAGAGATGCTGGCTTCCTCGCCGAGGCCGACAAGGACCCTCTGACACCTCGCGAAACCCTCCCTCCAGACCCAGGGGGAGGGGGAAGGGGGAGGGATCAAGACACCCCCTAGATAGAAAGCCGTCTAGCTCAATCCCACCCGCCCTCCCAACACAGAAGTAACACCCGAGCCTGAGCATGTTCAGCGGTCGTCTTTGGACGGTCAGTTGCTAGGAATCAGAACCGACCCCATGTGCGCGAGGCTGGGTCGATGTGCGCCACGCGCAACAGTCACCCCTGGGTCCGAGCGTACCAGGCACGCCTGGTGCGCCACATGCGCCACGTGCTCCACGTGCGCCAGGTGTGCCGCATACTCCAGCCGCGCCAGGTGCGCCACGTTCGGGTCACGTGCAGAGTGTGTCAGGTGCGCCTGCGCACGTGACAGCACACATCGGGAAACATGTCGGCCCCAACCATCCATGCCGAAAACCAATGCCCATTATTGTGTCTGGTGGGCCCGCGCACAGCAGGCCATACGCCACCACCCCCGCCGTCCCTGTCAAAAACCGCTTGACAGTGATCGCGGGGTGGCCGCGCATGATCCAGAATTCGCCGCGAGGTTAATTTTGTATTGTCTTTTGTTAGGGAAGGTAGTCCTGCGCGCAGCAGGCAATATGCTGACACCCCCGCCGTCCTTGTCAAAAACAATACAAAGTGCTCGCGGGCCTCACGATGATGATTCAAGACTTTGCTACAAAATGTATGCTGTATTGCTTTTGACAGGAATGGGGACGGGGGGGGCGCATCGGGTTGGCCGCGGCTGTTCCAAATGTGGAGAGTGAGTGCGTTTTGTATTGTTTTATGACAGGGATGGTGGGGTGGTAAGCATGGGTCCTGGTTGGCTGCCGGTCGCCTGGGGGAGAGGGCGTATATTAAGAAGGAATATTGATCAAGACACCTTCCCCGCCCGCAAGCCATCTCGCTCACTCCCACCCGCCCTCCCAACGCATAAGGAGCACCCGAGCCGCAGCGTGTTCAGCAGTAGTCTTTCGATGGGCAGCTAATTGGAACCGAAACAGACCCCATATGCGCAACACTGGGGCGAGGTGCGCCAGGCGTGCCAGGCGCGCCACGCGCTACGCGCGCCAGGTGCGCCGGGCACCCCTGTGGCCGAAGCGTGCCAGGCACGCCTGGTGCGCGCGTTCCGCGCCAGGTGCGCCACGCTCGGGGCACGCGGAGAGTGTGCCAGGTGCGCCTGCGCACGTGGCAGTACACATCGGGAAACGTGTCGGCCCCCACCGCCCTTGTCGAAAACCAGTGCGCAATCGCGGCGGGGTGGCTATCATAGCGTTTGGTGGGCCTGCACATAGCAGGCGATATGCCAGCACCCCTGCCGCCCGAGCCAAAAACCAAGGCACAGGTGCCCGCGCATGATCCAGATTCCTTTCGCTTCGCGGGATGCACGTCCAGACCGCGGAGCGCACGGGCGTTTCGGGTTTTTTCGATTATGCACAGTTAAGTCTCTGTGGCGGCTCCTGCGAGCCCCCTGGATGCGTCTTGGGCTGTCTTGGGGCGCTCTTGCGCCGTTTGGATCCTTTGAAGATGCCGCGCGCAGGCCTCTAGGAAGCCTCGTGGGGCCTCGACGGGCCTCTCGGGCCGTGCTGGGCCGTCCTGGGCCCCATGGGCGCCTCTGTGGAGCGTATGAGAGCCTGGCGACCGGAAGGCGTAGGGCATGAACATCAGGGGGTGTTGCGGGAGGCGTCTGGGGCCCTTTCGGGGGCCCGTCAGGGGCACATCGGGCCCTCGTCGGGGCTTCTTGGGGCGTCTGAAGGGCGCCTGGAGCAGTTTTCCGGCTCTCTGGGGCCGTGTGGGCCTTTTCGGAGGCCGTCTTGGCTGCCCCTCGGGGCCGCGCTCTCTTGGGCCGTCTCGCGGGGTGCCCGCGCATGATCGAGATTCCTCTCGCTTCGCGGGGTGCACGTCCAGAGCACGTACAGTCACGTCGTCGCGGGGCCTCTTGGGAGTCTCTTGGGGGCCTCCTGGGGGCCTCCTGGGAGCTTCTTTGGGGCCTTTCCCCTTTCCTTTTCATACACCCTCCCCATCTTCCCTTCCAGCGCCGGCTCTAATCAT